TTTGAATTTTGAACTTTGATTGGTTGTCTTTAATACCGATCATTTTTTCTTAATTTCTGATTAGCACTAAAACGCACCTATGGTATTTTACACCTGTGCATTAGGGTGTTACCTCAACTAACTAATCATTAGTTAGGGTAACATTAATTTCGGATTTATTAATAGCGATAGTTAAATTTGAAATTTACAGTATCATTAATAAATAGGATTTAAGCGTATTATTTGTGCGTAATATTTTTGTATTCAATGTGACACTTTTAAATACAACTTTCTAGTAATTTAAATAATTTTAAATATATAATTGTTTATAATTGTTAGACATTAAACAAAAAGCTTAATAGTTTTAAGTACTATTTTTGATTTTATATAATTTAATTTTAAACCCTTCTTTTAACTAACTACTAATAGTTTTAAAATTATATATATATATAGAATAACTATTTATATAAAAATAATTAAGTAAATTGTATTAAGTTTAATAGTTTTGCTAGAGTTAGAATGTTGTTGTGATTGTATAAAAAAATGGATAATTAAATATTTAAAAATAGCTCTGTTATTATTATATAAAGCTTATAAATGTTTCAAGTTAAAAAAAAAAATAATATACACTTTTGTTAAATACTTGTATTAAAAATACTGTATAAATTTAATTAATATTTATAGTAATATACAACCTATAAAAAATCAAAATTATACTCTATTATTGGATTTATTGGTTGAGATAATAACCTGTTTATGCATATATATATATGCAAATTCTTTATATTAAATTTTTTTAAATCTTAAGATATATTGTCAATTTTAATAAAAAAAAACATTTAAATAAAAAAATTTTAGAGAATTACTATTTGTATACTAGTGTGTACACACAGAGTATTGTTATTACTCAAAATTTTGTTTATAAAACCACTTTGTGGTTCTAACAAAAAATAATCTACGCAAAATATTAGTATAAAATACTCTTTAATCCTAACCCTAATATTAAGTAGTTTTTTTTTTTTTTTTATATTATACAGATTTGCAAATCAATTAATTAATATCAGATATATACCCGTGTTTATACACTAAAATTTTCTAAATTTTATTAAATTTAGTTAAGTAGTTGTCAAAATATTCTTGCTCAAAATTGTAAAAAATTTTTAATATCTGATATTAACAATTTGCTTGTTTTCTATTGAATGCGTACTAGTTGTCGTGTCGTAGATGATAACTGATCATTCATTACTAAAGACTCGATTGATAACTTTGGTGCTCTACACCCCGAAACCCTTTCCAGACCTTAAATCTAACCCTAAATACTAACCATAATGTGAAAAAATTTAAGTTAAACATTTTATATACAAAACGTATAAACCTTTAGAAAAAATCTAAAAAAAAAACATAACAAAGCATATAATAGTCATCATAGGTTTGTTTTAAAAAAAAATATAATATTTTCAAAATAATAAACAACTATCGCTATACTATAAAATTAATATTAACCAAATAAGAATAAATAGTGAAGATAATTATTGTACTTATAAAATTAGTAGACTTAAAACCTTTAAAGTATATACGGTATATAACTATCTAGGTGTATGCAGTAATATTCGACTTATGTCGTAACTTTCGGTATATTTCTATCAATGAGTAAATATATACCGTGTGCTATTCGAACCAAATAATCATTACCTCATCCAGTATTTTGGTAAAAACATTACAGTAAATCACTTAGCGTTAATGTAATGTGTTATTAAAAATTACTATACAATAAATGGTTTTTTGTATATCGTGATACGTGTGTACGTAACGTCACAGTTTTTAAAAAATGTGGACGAAACATCTTTGACCAAATATTGCTATAATTGATCGTCAAAATGTGTTAACAATTCATTAAACCACGTTATATATATTAATAACGATAACGCCAAAAGAATTTATATAAAGTTTGACGCAGTGATTAAAAACAAAAACGGAGTACGATATGTTTGTATATACCTTAATTTATACATATATATATCTAGGAGTAATACATAAAATACGTATGTTTCTGGGCAGTGATGCATAAATCATGTAGTTAAAATTCTGTTTATAAATCTGCTTCGTTATTATAGCCTAAACAAAAGGTGAAACCATGGACACTGATATATTATTAGAGAACTTATCAGCAAAACTCGGTAACATGCTTAAAAATGCCGATGATTTTAATACAATCATTCGAATTGGACAAGATCCTAATGTTCAAACATTCTATGCGCATTCTAATGTCTTGAGAGCATTGTCTCCTTACTTTAATAAAGCGTTATCAAAGGATTGGGTAAAGAAAGAAGGTTTGATTTTATTAATTTAGTTCATAATTCCAAATTCTTTTTTTTTTCTTGATATATTTTAATTATATTTGAAAAAAACTACTTCTCATAAAAGATGAAATGTTTGTTTTTGAAAAACCGAATATTTCGCCATCTTGCTTTGAGATAATACTTAAGTAAGCTTTAACTGCTTGAAATTCATAATTCATCT